AACTGGGTGAGATAAAATAATGAGAATGTTTAGCTCAGAGCCTCTGGCACATTCAGTAAATACTACATTCAATAAATATTAGTGTCCTTTCCATCTGGAGTGAGGATGAGGGGTGGGTGGATGATGAGAGAGGACCAAGTCCCGGGAGTGAGTCAGGTCAATCTGCTGGGGCCCAAAGTACTTCCCACTCCCAGAACCCAATGCCCTCTTTCTTCATAAGGCTGGGGGTTGTTCTGTTTCCTCCCTAAGCCTAGCATCTCCCCTTCCTGAGCCTTGTCTCCCTCTTCTCCCCACCCCCCACATCCCCCTCCCCATACACACATTGGATGCCTCCTCTCATTACTCTAATAGAGCCAATCTTCCTTATCCTGACCCCATTGCCACCCACAGAGACAAATGAGCTGCAGTTCTGCTCAATGCTGGGAGGCGGCTGGCCAGCTCCTGGGTCATTGTTCCGAATGTCACTGAGAGCCTGAGAGGGATAGGAGCCCATAGGGCTGCAATTACTAGCCTATTCAGTTCCCCAGAATAAATCCCTGTCATTAGCTAGCAGTGAGGAGGAGGTAGGGAAGGGGGCAAAGGCAGCTCTGGGGAAAGAGAGCCTAGCACAAAGTTGCTGTTCCTGGTGGGCTGCTCTGGGCCCCATTACCCCCAGCTCCCACTATGGGACTGTGAGGGTCTAGTTACCCTGGTGGGCATAGGGTGTTTGCCTAAGAGTGTGCAGGGGAACCAAGGCACAGCAGAGTCTATGGTAACTCCACCTGGTAATTCAGCCTCAGAAGCCTTTCCCAGCCTCAAAACTGCTTCATTTTGCCCCAGCTCCCCAAGGCCTTCCCCTCTGCCAACCTTCTCACAGACACCCAGCGTCAGACTAGCTTAGTTTCAGGTCTTTCTGCTCATGGGAGCATCACTCAGTGGCAGGCTTCAGGCCCCATGATAAAGTTTCTCCTGACTCCAGGCTCCCAACTACTCTCTAGATAGGCATGGAAGATGTCCTAAGCCTGGTATGGGTGAGTGTTTCCTGCATCTCTTGCCAACACCCTTCCCCACCTCCAGGTCTCTCTCTAAGAGCAGAGGTTCCTCTGGGGCTTAGGGTTTGACTCAGGCCGAAGCAGCTTCTCTTTACCTCTCTGATTAGACCAGGTTATGGGGAATCAGCTTATATAGATAAGCTGCCACAGCAGTTCCCTGGGGATGAGCCTAGTGGCTCAAATGAAAAGACCATTGCTCAGCCCCACAACTTGGGTAAGGGGAGGGAAGAGGCAGACACTGAAAACCTGTGCTGATGTTGGCCTACCCACTGGCCTCAGGTGGGGTCCAGAAGAAAAGTGAGGGAGCTCCTATGGCTGGCTCTGAATCCACAGACCAAAAGCCCAACAGAAGGCCTGAATGGTTCTAAGATCTGAGGATTGGCTTGAGATTCCTTACTGAGGTCTCTTATAGACCCAATTGGCTTTTCCCTAGAAATCCTCAGAGGATTCTCAAATCAGAGGCCATGATTTGGTCAGAGCCTGGCCAAAGCTGGTGGGAAATAAGCCTGACCAATGGGGAGGAGCCTGGCTTGACTTAGAGTTCTGCATTCCAGCCCAGAGGGTTTTGTGACCCACCTATCCATTGCTAGCCCTTCAATCTTGTGAACCTTGACACATTCTTCTAGAGAAACTCAGGGAGAAGTCTGGGCTATACTCTCTGAAAGTGGGACTCCTGGTTTTAGAGAAGTGCTGAGGGAGTTGTAGGGTCTTTGACAGTATTGTATGGGGAGTGATGTTGAGAGTCTGATGGGAAAAGACTTATTTTAGGGGGATTCCCCCCAAGAAGTCAAGAACAGATAGACCAACTGACACACATACACTGTTGGGCTGTCCAGAAAACATCCAGAGAGCCTCCACCCAGAGAAGCCAAGAAACTGACATTGGACAGACAGAGACAAACAGAAAGAAACACACTCTAGGAAACTACAAACCAGACAGACAGACAAGACAATTTGGAATAACTGGGAAACATGGAAAGCCAGCACCTGAAGGCATGTACCAACTTGGGGACAAGTCTCCCTGCCCCACACAAAGGGGAGGGCTCTCCAGCAGTGCCACAGGCACTTTCCAACAGTAAAGGAAACCCTTCCCTCCGGCCCTTCCCCAGAGCATCTCCAACCCCCAACCCAGCACCTGCCCCTCCAAGGGGAAGGCAAACAACAAATCTTTTGGAAACTAAGATCATAGATTTCCAACCACCTCACCCCAAATATTGGAAAAACACCTTATTCTCTGGGACCCCTGGGAGCCCGGCCCCCATGAGGGGGCAGCACCCCTACCTCTCCAACCCCCAACATACACATAAGTACTTACCTCCTCAGTTGCTGCCCTGCTGGCTCCCTCTCCCACATGGCATAGCAGGTCCTCCACCCCTTCCCACCAGGAGTCAGCGTGCAGGGTGGGAGACTACAAGGGTGATCAGAGGAAGGTTGGCATGCGAAAGAGGATGAAGAGTGAGAGTAAAAGAGAGGAAAGACCATGGAAAAACCAGAGGATGATTTCTGTTGCCTGCCACCACCCAATACTGAGCATCTTGAGGCCAATATCTTGTCTATCCAAGTTTGGTGCTTGGTTAATATCAATAAAATTTTCACTTAATTTAATTGAATTGAGGGAGTAGAAGGCAGACTAGACAGTTTTCTCTCTTCTCCTCACCTACCAATGAAGGAAATTTTTAGGAAGAAGGCTAGGGCCATGTGTCTGAACAGTGGCAGCTCAAGGGATCCAAGGTTCTTCAGTCTCTCCCATCTCTCCCATCTTTCCACCTAATCACCCTGCTCCACCCTTACTCTTTGTCCTTTTTCTTTTTGTACCTTTCTTTCTCATTCTCATTTCTCTTCTTCCTTCTGATTTCCAGGTGAGTCATTTTTTAATTTGGAGGCATCATAAGGCTCTAGTAAGTAGGGAGTTCATCAGGATCCAGTGGGACTTCCTATCTTTATGTTCCTGGGCCTACCACAGAACCTGACACAGATTGAGACCACATGCCTTGGTCATCTCCTAGCCTCCAACTTGATCTGCCTCAGGGAAATTCCATCCTTCCCTCAGCCTGGATTTAAGGATCCTGATGGTATGCTGCCTCTTCCCAGGCAAAACTCCCATAGCTCAGAATCGTGCATCTTCTTCAGCTCCCTTCTCAGGACCTGACTTCAGCTGACTCCTCCTTAAAGGAAAAAGAACAGCAACCCCTTCGGCATGTGGTTTTTTGCCAATAATCACCATCTCTGAAGTCAAAGTCTTAAGCTCATGTCTAGACTTTGGTACTTTTTGACTGTGTGATTGTGGACAACTCTCTTAAGTATTCTGAATCTTACTTTCCTCTCACTCAAGACAGGGATAAAATAAATAAATACAAACTGGTATAACCTCATGAGAGACTATATGTGTTATTTTCTTAGATAGACAAACAACTTCATTACATGGATGAGGAAACTGAGGCCAAGAACCAAATAACTTGCCTCCCCAAGATCTTCCCTACAACAATGGTCACTGGGAAGAGGTAACTATGGGGAGGAAGTGGGAGGGGAGCTGTTGCACTGTGGTAAACTGTGGTCAATGACATGAGACAAAGTATATGTGAACTGCTGTATGGAAAGTGAATTTGCTCTGTAAATCTTCACCCAAATCACAATAAATTAAAAAAAAAGAAAGAAAGAAATCATAGTTCCATTTTTAACATCTATCTTTTTCAATTTGGTTGTTGTTGTTGTTGTTGTTTGCCGTCGAGTCGGCCCCGACTCATAGCGACCCCTCCTTGGGTTTCCGAGGCAGTATCACTACGGAAG